CCCTTCCTTCGTTTCAAACCTTCTGCAGTAGTTGTGTGAGCATGTCCACTGTTGTCTCCGAGTTTGTTCTCAGTGCTTCTGGAGGAATTCCATCTGGTCTTGCTGCTTTCCTGCAATTCATCAGTTCTATGGCGTTCAGGACTACTGATTTTGTCGGAGGGTCTGTGTTCATTTGTAGTTCTGTCGTTGCTAGTAGTATCTCCTGACGAGTTGGAGGTGATGGTGGTGGTCGATTCAAGAGTTTTTTGAAGTGGTCAGCCCATCGTTTCCTTTGTTTTTCCTCTTTGGTAGCTAGGTTTCCTTCACTATCTTTCATTGGTCTCGTCTATGTTGATTTCTTCCCAGACAGCAAGTGACCTGGTTATTTGATATAGTGTTGTCAGGTATCTGTCTCTCCTACCAGCAGCCTGTTCTGCTTCACTTGTCAATGTGTCGTAGAAGTGTCTTTTGTCTTCGCGTGCACTCTTCTTCACTTCTTTGTCCAGTGCAGTGTTTTATAGGTTGTATTCACTTCTTCTCTTCGTTGTGCATCCCTGCACTGGTTCATCTTCTGCTTCACCATCTCCCTCTCCCTGCTCTATCAGCTTCCATGTGTCCGTTGAGATCCATTACTTGTCTGGTCTTGTTTCTTCTTCATTCCGAATACGGTATGCAGATTTCTTTTCACATAGCTTTCAAAGAGTTCTAGTGCTCATCCACACAGGTTTCTTCGGGGATGCCGCTCGATATCTCCCATTTCGTCTTGATGGCTGACGTGAATATTTCCTTTGTAGTTTCGTACTTCAGTTTCTGGTTGTTGAACTTGAACTGTTGTCGATCATCACCAACTTCTTTGAAGTCTTTCAACTTGATTTGGAAGGTAGTTAGGTTCCTTGCAGTAGATAGTGAAGTGAGTGGTGTGAACCTACATCTGCTCCCCTTGTTGATCCAGTAGGCTGCGTCTCCACTTTCTTCACATTGAGATGAAGTCGATCTAGTTTTTAGTGTGTTCTGGTGTCTAATGAAGTGCATGTCGCTTTGTTAATGTCCTTGTGTTTGTACACACTGCCTCACTTCGAATCATGAAATGGTTGAGTGCGCAGAAGTCTGCAAACAGTTCTCGATTCTCATTGATCATTTCACCGAGTGCTTCTCGACCCATGATGAGTTTTCTTCTTGTGTTGTCCGCTCCCAGTTTGACATTCATGTCACCCCACATATTAGAATGAATTTTGATGTCGCCATCTGTGTGGAGTCTTGTGTAGTACTGATTGGAGTTGTGTGTAGAATTCCTCTTTCTTCTGTCCATCTGCATTATTTGTAGGTGAGTAGCGTGGCATTGAATGATTGTGACTATGCTTCCTTTTGAGTTGAATCTTGCTGTCTGTCATGATGCTGATCCTGCAGGAGGAGATTGTTTCCCACTGTATGAGAGAGAGAGCCTTGGATGCTGTTGATGACATTATGATAGCCACTTGAAACTCAGTGTGCTCGTGGTAGTCGTCTGGGTTAGATTATCGGAGTAGATTATTGACTGTGGAGTTAAGAGTTTGGAGAGTCCATTTCCATTCCACCCGGTTTCGCAAATTCCTAGCATTTCTTTTCTATACCTTCTAATCTCTTTTGCGATCTGGGCAGCCTTTCCAGTCAGCTTCAAACATTGTGCGGGCATTCCATGTCCCCATGTTTACTTTTGCTTTCATCGAGAGAGAGAGAGAGAGAGAGAGAGAGAGAGAGAGAGAGAGAGAGAGAGAGAGAGAGAGAGAGAAAGAGAGAAGACACATTGGGCAATTGGCTTCCCTAAGGCCTTCACCAACCGGCATCATTTCGTCCCTCCGGTTTCTTTGTGCTTTCAAGTTTGTTTAGCGATTGTATTGGTTTTGCGGGGTAGGGTTGCTAGCCGTATGCCCAACCTGCTCTCTTTGCTCGGGCCTAGGGCCGATTAGTAACTAGTGAACTAGCTAACAAGGCGAGGTTAAGTTTAGGAGTATGAGCATCCGAATTCGACCGTGTTAACCATTAGTGGGTTGATAGAAAGAAAGAAAAGCCTTAGCTAACCTGACACACTACAGGAGAGTGGAACTCCGCCACTCTATCTCACTTAGATAGTGATGATACGGCAACCGGTGTTCAGAAGTTAGATGATCATTCTAATACTTGGCTTCGGTGTAACACGAATGATCAGCTTTCGAAACGAAATATCAAATATGAGAGACCTAGTTGAGAGTCTAAAAACGATATGAAAGCGATCATGAAAATATGGTTAAAAGTGAATTTTATCGCACCTCATTCATCGCAGGGTATACCTCCATTAGTAAAGATCGGATTATTAATCGTAAAGCAGGTGGTGTAATCTACACCCGTATAAGGATACGTGACCCGATATTTGCCTTGATATGAATATCAGCCATAAATTGTGCTCGAAACGTCGTATGGTAAATAATCCTATATCACTGTGTATTATATCAAATCAACCAATCTAATATGGAGTTACCATAGTACCCAAATTTTATATTTACATATATTTACCCCTTTTTTTGCAAATAGTGGCGACGTTATGACCATTCATTACTTAGATCACATAAGCCAGTTTATGATCTGACCCCCTTCACCCAGATAGACAACACGAAGTTTCGACAACGATCAGGGATCGCGCTGCATCGATAGACCAGTTTATTGATACAGGTTGGTCTGTTCAAGTCTTAGGGTAAATTTAGAACTACATTTAAATGTGCAACTCCCCCTCTTCATCCTCTAGTCTATTGTGCAAAGTTCTTTTCATAGGACCAACATCGAGTGATAGGTGAATATAAAGATTATGAAAATAGAGGGAACACCCCTAGAGTTCATTCATATCAATGGGTGTTGAAAAATTCAGGTCCAGTTAATGTAAGGTTTGAAACATTTGTACAGCTGCTATCGCTACATACTGCATATCAAATGAAAGACAAATAGTAAACTATTGTCAAAGCTGCCGAAAAAGGTTTGTTTTCCCACACCAGAAGGTATGAGGTAATCTGTATTCTATTTTATAGGAAGTCAGATGGATTATCTAGATTGGATTCAGTAGAAGTTAAATCTACTGAGCTACTTTAGTCAGAATTTTTCCACAGATGTGAAAGCGAAAGTGTCGGAACTGTCACCGCCTATGAATCTAGAATAACATCATCTGTCATTGTTAGCATTTAAAATGCTCAAAATCCTAAGTTTGAAAACTCACTAGGTCATGATAGGCTATATCTTAGATTGTTATCATTACCGGTAGATATTACCGATTAGCCACTGTCTGTACTTGTCTCTTGTCTCAGTCGCGGTTACTTAGGAATTGGAAGGACGCCATAGTTATTTCTGTAGTAGTACTAATATAGTTCAGATACGTAGATGAATTATTCAGGATGAAGTGCTGAATTATGTTAGACGTTAATTTCCTTTTAGTGCATGGGTTAAATGGTTTCCAGACTGGTCGTTCTTGTTTGACGAATCTCCTAGCGAGAGAAAATGGGTGGAAACTAACAACACTATTCATGAAGGTGGTGTTTATTAACTTTAACAAGACCATCGGTAAAATCTCTAACGTCGACCTAGAGTTCACTGAATTTGGCACGAGCGTTAGGTTAAACGAGGTTGAGGGACCACTTTTGAGCGAGAAAGTAAAGGAAAATGGGGGTATTTTTATTTTGATGCTTGTAATTTTCCGTTGCTATGTGGAGCCCAATCATTCCAACTCTGTTGACAAATGGGCTCCTATACGTATACTCGATCCTGCCGGATATTTATGGTGTCATATACATCTTGTTGACTAACAGAGAAATCTGGGCAGGTGCGTCTCGTCCTATTTGGGACTAATCAGCTGGATGTGCCTGGACCCCAGCGAGTGACGTTGTTCCCACTGAGACTCGAAACCAGGACCCATCGCTTCAAACGTCAAAGCTTTATCCACTGGGACACGATAGCCACCTTCTATGCAACCGGTATCAGTTGTTGCTCTGATACTTGTAATAATTTGGAGTGATGGATCGTGGCTTTGAGTCCCAGTGGGAACAACGTCACTCACTGGGGTCCAGATACACCCAGCTGATTAGTCCCAAATAGGACGAAACGTGTTTCCCGGATTCCGTTGCTAGTCACCAAACTTAATATAGAACCAATTCAAGTGTTGCATAATACGCTGGGAATTTTCACGGGGGATTCCCATAGAAGTCAAAACATTCAGGTCATATAATATCTTCTGCTGAGCACCACAAATAGAGTCAAGATTGCAGGAATGAAGGCTGTATGAAATAGATGTTTAAATAGCATTAGTAATTGTAGACAGCTCACACTGATCGTCAGTGCTTGCTAACCAGACCAAAGTGGTCTAAGCGCCAGATAACTTTCTCCTGTTTAGGCCTGGGTTCATCAGTGGTGTACTTGCAGTGATTCAGCTTAGAGAGCGGAATCGTTCAAACCATGAAACTTCTGGTTAACTGCTTGGCTAATTTAATCATACATGGCATCACACCAGACATCTGCAAAGTGAGATAAGTTGGAAAAAAGATACTAATGACCGGATGGAGCAGCTCACTTATCACTTCAAGGTTCTTCAATTAGGCTATGTACTACACGTATTCTGATGGTACTGTTTGACTATTCATATCTGGGTAATCTGAGCTGATTTCAGCCCATAAGCTGCTGACTGGAATTGAAGTGCCTAAATTAATGAATTACAGATTAAGGCATTGCATCATTCTGATTTGAGACATATAAGTGTGTGTGTGTGTGTGTGGGGGGGGGGGTAAGCCAGTTGGTGCTTGCAGCTCTGCTCTGATCTGTCCATATAGCTTACAGATGTAACTGATTAACAATTGGGAACTTTATGCAATGTAGCTCATAACCGATCACAATAGTGCATATGTTTAAACCGATGACTACACCTTTATCAAGAAATAAATTGTTTTCAGATCGGCTTCTTAAAGTTTTTGCTTAAATAAATCAGCATATATTTTAGATGAAATTCGATAGTTCTATTTCTTTTTTTACAGCCACGTTGTCCGATGTCAGTGCAATTAGACGAACTATCCCGTCCCCCAATCCTCCATGGTAACCTTACTCAAACTAACAATTACGATAATGGGAATCCCCTTAAAAGTGAAGACAGCCGACAGTCTATTGAAGTTGCTGAGTATCTATTAGATAAGAAATTTTTCCTATCAGCTCTTGAATATTATTTTGAACAGTTGGAACGTGGCAAAAGTATAAAAGTTTTGCATGAATTTTTCACTAGTCCAAATTTTGTTGATAATTTGAATTTATCTACGGAGTTGTCTAGTTTGGGTAAGCCAATTTATAACTGTTGTCATACATAAAAAAGGCAAATACCCAAGTCTGTCATCTTTGGACTCATCGGATATTGGTAGAATTTCAGATGATGGAAATACTTTGGAGGAGAAATTGAAAGGTTAGGCTTTTGATTGATTTAAACAAAAATTATGTATCATTTTTTCTAGTGCTTGAATATGAATTACGTAAAAAGAATGATGAGATAAGCACATTGCGGAATGAATTGACAAATCTAGTAGCCTGTGGATTCAAAGGCGATGCTCAATTGTCACAAGCTTCAGGTGATTTTGACTCAATCACTGGTTATAATAATAATATTATTATTACTATTTTGGAGTAAATTTTTATTCCTTTTACTGCAGAGGGACTTAATTATTTACACCGCATTACACTCTGAAGTGTATTCACTTACACATTGGAGAAGGGCTGACTATTTAGGGGCTGTAGCGACTAAGCAAACTAGACGTTCCTGCGTGTCGTTCGACTTTCCACAGAATTTTGCACACAAGTGCATTTGTTTAAGTTGCCACACTTCAAAGTGGAATGAAAAGAATAAGTGAATAGGAAGGACTGATATTAAAGTAGACAAAGGTGTATCAGGGAAGAGGAAATTTAAAAATAAGGGTTATTCAAGACTTTAAAGCTTTAGAAGACATCATGAATGAGTACATATGCTCGATTGTGACCGATTTTCGGCCATTTTATTTAGAGTCTGAAAGCATTGATTCCTATGGACTCTGGGACCCCAGACATATATTCTGCAGCTCTCTACAAGATTCAGATAATCAGTTTAAAACTTATTGAACTTGGGCCACGTCTTGGTCTGGTCACTCTGAACCCTCCAACCTAATCCAACCTCCAGCTAGTTGACAACTAGTTGGTGAGGCAACTGATATAAAGTGTGTTCAATTATACATCAACTTTGATTCACTATGAACACGTATTCATCAAGCATCACAGCTGTGCTTAGTTTTGATTGTGGTGGTTTTGATGATTGACAGGTGAATTCTTACCACCAGTCATTAGGTGGTTTACTATGTTGTAGATTATTGAGAAAGGGGATTTATTATCATCAGTGTTATGACCAATATCAAATAAGTGTAATTAAACGAAACTTGTACTCTTTAACTTACCTTTCACTAACCATAATCAGAGATGTTCTTTTGCACTTTGCAAAACGATTGTCTTAGTGAGTTCCAGAGCGTAGAGATGGATATACGGAAACCCTATTTTTTAAACATCTGTTGCTGAATGTTACTCTCAGAGTGGTTGGAGGAAACGTTTTCTCCAATAAACTTTCAAGTTTGTTTTCGACGTATATCATATTCCAATACTCTTGAATGCGTTACAGCTTATAATTAGGAATCAGGTGAGTTATGTACGTCAAGTATTATCTTTCAAGGGCGTCTACTCCCTTCTTTTTTATTTAACTTTGTCACAGACGTGCTTGTGGAGCTCTCTCTCTGCGCTTCACACTAAATCACCCAGATTAACATTTTCACAGGAGACTTTAGTAGAACTAGACTGTGGAGATGACAGTCATAGTAGCGCAGTAGGTGAAGATACTTACAAGATGCAGTCTTGTTGACACATTGTATGGCAATTTTAGTATGACATGTTTTCCTTACCATCCGAATTCAAATTTTTACTTCAAGACTACTCTACACTGATATCTTATCTAATAATGGGCAGAGAAGCTGCTAAGCGTCTTAGCCACTTGGAAGGTTGCATCAGCCTTGGTGGGTCAGTGACTGACGACATGCAATGTTAACCGGAATTGAAGTTAGTTGACAGAATGTTGAGGGTGGTCAGACCAAGAGGTGGAACTGGTCGACGAAGTCTTTGACTGTTGGTCTACGCTGTGTAGGAATACTTAAACACTTCACTTACCTGGGAAGTGGGATCAGTTATTGAACCTGTGAATCAGTAACCGATCAAATCTCTGTACTCTTAAAACAGGCGCAATTAGCTCTTGCCAACCTATGCCATTCTTCGCGCCACTGCCATATCAGATTGACTGATTGCCTGTTAGGGTTGAGTATTTTTACGCTACAGTTCGGCTCTCTCTTCTACTATGTTCCTATCAGACACGACCGTTCCAGGTGGAGGATATGAGAAAGAAGGCTTCGTGTGTTCGACTAGTCATACCTTCGTGGCATGTATCGTGGTGTCACGACATGAGTGATGTGCAAGTGTGGAGTAGAGTTATGCCTAGAACAGGAAAGTCAGTTGATAAGATTGTGAATGTTCGTTGACTCAGGTGGCTGGCATATGTGTTTTGCTTACCTAGTCACCATTTGCCTTGGCATGCAATGTTAACTGAAGTAGGTTTCACGTGTAAGACGGTCAAGAGTGGCAAGACCAAAACATGGCATCATTACATGAAGTCTTTGACTGTTGGTCTGAGTTGTGTGGGAAATATAGGTTATTTAGTTAAAGTCCGTATGATAACACAAACCAGCGGTTGGAGATTCTAAATCAAATGTCTTCGAATCACTCTCAGTGGTACAAATGTACCCACACATTATATTCGTTTTAATTGTCATTTTGTATTCAGTATTTTCTTATTCCATTCCTCTCTTCCACTACTTCCGACTGGTTTTTTTCTATTTCTTTATTTTTCCTGTTTGTATATTGTTACTCAATGTGTTAATATGAGGTGTAGCAACCGAAACTGTTATGAGGTAACACCTAGCCCTATGTTGATGTTGATGCTGTGTAGGAGGGAAGGTGAAGACTGCTGGGTTAGGGTTGTCAAGTTGATAGAAATCAATATTTGGAGAACCTTTGTAACGTGACCGAGAACCGGTGAGAATGGCGCAGATGTATTCACTCTTTGATGTGTTCTGAAGCTTGAACGTTTTCACTGACCTTGGTCTTTAAATTCCTTTTCTTCCTATAAGCCTACTTTGTCTACCTTTTTTTCACCTCACTCTTTCTGCGGGCATTTGTTCTTCGTATGCTGCTGTGAAGTGTGTTAGCTTGAACGGATGCGCTTGTGTGCGAGCCTCTACGTTGATTTCGTCTATCTCTCTGTCTGATTGACGGAATCTGTGCACAGATAGGTTCTGTTTCAATGTGTTCATTTTCTGTGAGCCTTTTACTATTGTGGCATCAGAACATATTCTCCTTATCCTTACAAACAGATATTCAATCAATTTCTTTCTCAATTATAGTAGGATTGAATAATAAAGTTGTGTGTACTTTCTGTTCCAAGATACTTTATGCTAATCACTTCTCATTATTCCTTCTTTATCTGACCTTTTTAGCAGAACATTTAGAAAAGAAATTTGTTTTAATTTTGTCGTCAATGTGGGAATTTTTTCTCGGATACGACCTGTTAAAAACTCAGTAGTAGTAGTGATAGTTGCAGTATCATAAGTGTTGCTCAAAGTCTAGGAAACAAACCTACACTGGGTTAGGTATTATTATTATTACTATTATTTCTGGAAGATACCACAGGGCTGATATTTTGGAATTGATCGTTTAAATACTTAGGGTTTCCGCAGCAATCAGTCCTGAAGTATAATCTTACATTTGACGTGTGAAAAAAGCGTACCAGCTAAACATACTAAGATTTCTGGTCAAGGCATTCAGAAGACGCTGCATTTGATCGACGTCTTCATCTACCAGGACAATTTTGTCTGTGTACTGCAGGTCAATCAGATGCCGTCCAGAGAAGCAGTAGGTCAATCCATGTGAAATCGGTGATACCAGAGGTTATGTCTGTTACTGCGTCTATAAAGAGGTTGGGCAGGATCTGTGACAACGCTCCATAAGTCTTCTCATGGCTCCATGAGTTCGAGGAGAGAGCTCTGATTAGCGTTATTCACTCGCTCAATACTCCTTTCACAGTCAGACACCGTCACAACACCTCATGGTTTGCAAAGTTAAGTGTCACCTTCAGGTCAAGAAATATAGCAAATGTTGATCCACCCTCGTCCAGACCTGAAGTCTGTCAAGTTTAGAGTTCTCCAGCCCTAGTAAAGTATCGGATAACTGTGAATGCTAGGATCTTGGATGCTATGTTAGTCAAACTGACCCATTCCATGGTTACTACAAGAAGACTTCTTTCCGTTCTTATAGGCCTAAATCATCAGGGAAGTAGATCAGTCTGAAAGGATTACCTTTGATTTCCATACGCAGCCTAGTACGTCAACCTAGTGTTTCCGTTACTGTACTTCGTAGTTTCCTACCTCGTTCCTTAAAAACCTCTGGCGGTGAACCCTCATATCCTACTGGTTTGTATAGCTTTAGATTCCAAAAAGCCTCCTCAACTTCAAAGACAACTGGTTGGGTGACATCTACGTCCCATTCAGTTTTGGAGTAGGATGCCGGGTAGCCGAAGCTTGACTGTGGGCCAGTTGAACTTAGCTTCCGCTCAAAATTTTAGCCGCTTTTCCTGTTAGATTTGCAAGGTCCCATTCCTTTCCCTGATCGTTTCACTAAACATTATCTTCTTACCAGTATCCTTATTAAGCTGGAAAAAATTACCGCTCAGTACCTAATGTTGACGCCTCCTCTGTCTCTTTTGCTTCCGCCAACCACCACTACTCATGATCATTTCGAAGACTTTTAGTCAATTAACGTTTAGTTTAGATGCTCTCGCTCTTTATTATGGTCAGAGCCAACTGAAATCAGTCTTGTATCAATCAGTTCGGTCGGCGTTATAGAAATCCACTGGCTTTTGCTGACTTTTTGATTTAAGTTACCAGCGGTCTCTACTACGTTCTACAACAGTTTGAATATTATACCAGGTGTCCTCAGGATGAGAATTGCTGTGGCATTCAGATAAATGCTTAACTATCTCCAACCCAAAATACACACTTCGTATTCTCATCTTATCGAGCACACACTGTCTTCACTGCCGCCTGTCGGTTTCCTGCTACCAATAAAACGTCTCTGTAATAACAGGTGATCGCACGCGAAAATGCACTCCGGAAAGATCAGCGCTCCTGTGCAGTTCAGTATGATCTATCCATCGTCGGTTTGATGTCAGCAGATGCTGAGTGAGCTAGTATCTCTCCTTATACTTTGAGTTAGTGCTGACCAGAGACAAGTAATTGTCAGAACAAAATTGCAACAGACGATCACCGTTGTCTGCGGGTCTGAATGACCAAGTTGTGTAAATCGACAAAATATTTGGTGTGTTAAATCCAAAAGTAGCATCGGGACAGAGAAGAGCTGGTATAATACCTGAGAAGGGAAAGAGTGTTTGATCTTAAATGTTAAAACTTAAGACCATGTATAAAGTAAGCTATGTGAACGTCCAGAAAGAATT